CCCCACCACCCCCGCCATTGCCACAGGCCAGGGCACTGAGGTCAAGGGGGCTGGGAGCCAGGGGCAGGGGCAGACCAGGCAGGCCGGGGCCTCCAAAGAGGGCAGCGGGGTTGGGGATGATAATCTGGGCCCCGCTGACGTAGGGGCTGCCGTCGGGGGCAGGCAGCGGTGGTTTGGGGGGCGGGCGCAGCTGCAGGAGCTCTTGCTGCTCATGAGACACGAAGTGGCCGTGGGCCTTGATGTGCTTGCGCAGCGAGCTGGGGTCGGTGTAGCGCTTGTGGCAGCCGGGCATCTTGCAGTAGTAGGGCTTGTCAACGTAGTGGGTGCGAGTGTGCTTGAAGCGGTCACTCGAGTTTGAGTAGCGCTTGCTGCAGCCCTCGTAGGGGCAGACGTAGGGCTTCTCACCTGCGGGCAGGCGGCGTGAGGGGTTTCTCTCCCACCCAGTGCTCCCCACCACCCACGCAGCATCCCCCAGACCGAGAACTCCCTGAGAGCACACAGCCTCCAATGGAGGGGGGGGGGGGGTCCCCGGCCCCTGACATGAGATCTGACCCCAGGAGGGGACAGTGGAATGCCGACTGCCCTTACTCAACAAACCGGCTCAAGATTTACTGAGCATCTGCCACTGCGCTGGCCAGGACAGGAGTCACATGTGGCCGCCACTGAGCCTTAAATGCAGCTGGTCCAGGTAGAGTCACACCATGAGGGTAAAATACACACCACGAAAAAAAATACACGCCAGATTGTGAAGACTTTGTGTATGGTTAAAACTTTAAATTTTAAATAAAATTCAATTTATTTAAATTAAAATAAATTTCATTGATTTTTTTTATTATAGAAATATTTTGTGTATATTGGGTTCAATAAAATATTACAATTAATATCTTCTATTTCTTTTTGCTTTTTTAGTGCAGGGATTAGGAGATTTGAAATTGGGTCTGGACCAGTTAGCTCAGTGGCTTAGAGTGTGGTGCTGATGACACCAAAGTCCAGGGTTCCATCCCTGTACTGGCCAGCCGCGAAGAGAAAAAGAAAGAGATCAGGTCTGTGGCTCCGTGGGCCTGAGCTGGCTTTACTGTAGGCTTGGGGTATGGTGAGGAGCAAAGCAGACACAGTCTCTGCCATCAGAGGTGGCACTAGTTATACGATCGTACTAATAGGATGCAGGAAATCGTGTCCATGGCTCCACAAGTGGGGGGTTTGATCCACAGGGAAGGCTTCTCCCAGCAAGCAGCATTCAAAAAGGGGCCACTGAGCAATGAAATTTCTCTCATCTAACACCCAGTCCTTCCTTAGAGTCCCCACTCTCTAGGAGCCTGCCTCCCTGACCCTGCCCACAGTGAGCCTGCCCTCTGTGGGCCCAAAACCCCTAGCCCCAGCCCTTCACCTGTGTGTGAGCGGTTGTGGATCTTCAGGTTCTCCAGGCGGGAGAAGCTCTTGTTGCAGGTGGGGCAGCGGTGCGGCTTCTCGTTAGTGTGCGTGCGGATGTGAATGAGCATCTTGTACCTGCTCCAGGGGGGCATGGGCCGGCTCAGCTCCCTGGAGCCCCCGCCCCTCCCTCTGCCCTCTGCCCTCTCTCCCCCTCCCTCACCTGGCATTGAAGCCTCGGCCATGGCGGGCACACCCCTCCCAGTGGCAGCAGTACCCGGCATCCTTCTCAGGCTTGACGTGGTAGTCATTGACGTGGTCCACCAGGTCTTGCAGGAGCTCAAAGAGCCGGTTACACTGCAGGAAGGTCCAGGGGGGTTTCTGAGCCCATGTGGGCGCCTGCCCCAGACCCCACACCACTCTTCCTGGCCCCACTCACCTTGGCCCAGCGACACACCAGCTGCTTGGGCAGTGGCAGTTCTGGCGAGAGGCACTTGTCCTTGGGGGGGGTGAGGAAGGAGGCAGCGGGCAGGTGCAGGCCCCCGCCGGAGCCCAAGGGCAGGAAGAACTGGAAGGAGCTGGGGACGCTGTCCAGATAGCGCAGCGGCTGGAAGTCCTGGGCATGATGGCGAGGGGGAGAGCCGCTCAGTGTCCTGCTAGGTCAGCTGGACCCAGCCCCTCTGTCCCCTTCTGTAGTGGGTTCAATGGTGTCCCCGCAAAAGATACATTCAAGTCCTAATCCCTGGTACCTGTGAATGTGACCTTATTTGGAAATAGCATCTTTGCAGATATAATCAAGTTAAGATGAGGTCATACTGGGTTAGGGTGAGACCTAAATCCAGTGAATGGTATCTTTTTTTCTTTCTTTTCTTTTCTTTTCTTTTTTTTTTTTTTGGTGGCTGGCTGGTATAGCAATTGAACCCTGGACCTTGCTGTTATCAGGACCATGCTCTAACCAGCTGAGATAACCAGCCAGCCTCTATTTCTTTCTTTTTTTCCACATCCAGACATACACACTGGACAGTGGCTGGTGTCTTTATAAGAGAAAGGGGAGGGAGATGTGGTAAAGAGGGACACAGAAGGAAGAAGGCAATATAAAGTCAGAGGCAGAGATTGGAGTGATGTGGCCACAGCCAAGGAATGACAAAGATTGGTGGAAGCCACCAGAAGCTAGGAAAGAGGTAAGGAAGGAGGCCTTGCAGAGGCCTTGATTTCAGACTTGAGCTTCCAGAATTACAATAGTGCACCTCTGTTGGTTTAAGCCACTCAGTCTTGTGGTGCTTTGCTATGGCAGCCCCAGGACACCAACACACTTTCTGTCTCTGGAACCCTCAACCCTCCTTACCGGGGCAGTGGGCACTGGGGGCAGGTCCCCATTGCCCTGGCGCTCGGGGGACAGCGAGTTGCTGTCGTTGGGGGAGTCCAGCCCAGATGGTGGTGACAAGCTGAGGTCCACCAGAGGGGCTGCCGAAAAGTGTCCCTCCACCTTCTCAGGGAACTTGGTGTTCAGCAGGAAGCCTAAAGAGGAGGCACAATTTAGGGGGTTAGAGCCAGGAATCCAGGTGGACCAGGTCCTCCCACCTCTGAATCCCCACTGTGACCCTGAAGCAGACATCAGCTGCACCCCTGCACCACCCTGGGATCCCAGGTATCTTAGAAGCAGCTTGTACTGTTGACAAATGAGATGACCCCCCCATCTTGTTTGACCTTTACCACCATGAGAGCTCGGCCACTGCGTAAGACGGTAAGTGGACAGCGCCTGTTTTACAGATGGGATGGTCTGGCACACCGGGTGAATAACAATAGAAACTCGAACCCAGGCTCCTGGCTCCCTCGCATACTGGCAGGTAGGGATCTTTCCAACTTTTCCCGGGCCCCTTCCTGCCTCAATGCTCTCTTCTGTAAATTGGAAGGTTTGGGCTGGGCTGTTTCCAGAGCCTTCCAGCTCAGACATGTGGCAAATCTGTTTTTCAGGGTCAACTTGGAGGCAGAGCAGAACCGGTGAGCATCAGCATTCCCTGGGAAGCACATGCTGGATTCGGTCCCCAACCTCTACTGCCCTAGTCTGCCGGCCACACCACCTCAGGGCCTGGAGCCTTTGATACTACCTTTAGATCCCTCTGTTCCCTTATCAGCTGCTCCACATCTGCCCAGAGGCCTGCATTTGAATCCTGGCTCTGTGTGCCAGCTGCATGAACTGCTGGGAGGGTGAATGGACAACGTGTGGGCAGTACTGTAATCCGGAAGCCATGCAGGGCTGCAGTCATGTCCTGGTGGACACACCTTGGCCATTCTTCCTATCTCGTGGCTGGATCAGGGCTGAGTCCCCCCGCCCTGCCCGGGGGCAGTACCTGAGGGTGGGGAGCCTGGGGAGCCGGGTGTGGGACTGTCATCCACCAGGCCGAGCTCCCTGTGCAGAGCTCCGTGGCGGACCACACCCAGTGTCCTCTCCCGCTTCTCTCTCGCCGCTCGGAGCTTGGTGATGCTCAGCTTCAGGTCGAGCGGCTCGTCCAGGGAGTGCATGGTGATGGGGGACTGGGGGTGGAAGTGGCAGCAGGCAGTGGGGGTCTTCAGGCAGGAACCTGGGAAAGACAGGAGCTGTGCTGTGACACTGACCCCAGGCTCCTCCACAGGTGGCATTCATTAAAGGCCACAGGAGCAAGGAGGGAGTGAGTGAGGCCATCTGCAGGGGTAGGGAAACCCTCTGAGTGGCCTGGCCTGCAGGTATCATGGAGAGAGTGAGCCAGCCACCTACTCAGAAGCTCCACGTCCACTTCCCGTGAATCTTTTCAGGGAGGCAACACTCATGGTCTCCATTTTGCCTTGAAACTGAGTTTGAGAGACATTGCCTCAGGTCACAGAGCTTGGAAAGGGCAGAGCTAACAGATTTAAGGCCTCGAGCCTAGGTCTTTTCTCTGGAACTCGCTAGTCAAGTCCCAAGAGTCATTTCTGATGGAGCAGGAAGCCACATGGGGACACACGCCTGGTTTGGGCCGAAGACTGAGAACCATGCCAGGAGAGCAAGGTGTGTCCTCCAAGGTGACTGTCAATATTCCTCAGCTGTGCCGGGTACTCATCCATTCCCAGCAGGCAGCTATGATCACCTCTATGGAAACCAGGCTGACACCTTGTCCCAGGCAAGCCTTGCAAAGCCTGGGCCGAGGAACTAGGGCACAGGCAGGAGCCTCACCTCCCAGGTGAGGGACTGAGGAGTGGCACCCACAAGCTACCAGGAGCCAGAGGGCTCTGGGCCGCCACCAGGGGGCAGTTAGGGACTGTGGTCTGGTCAGGCCAGTTGGGGCAGGGTTGGTGAAGGAATAGACCAGCTCTGTCTGGTGGTTAATAAATATGTATGTATATATCATTTTTTGCTGGTGATGATATTATTTTATTATAAGTTCTCATGCTGTAATTTTCATCATTTTCTTAGAACTGCTCACTGGTGTAATTATTTTCACATATAAATGAACTAATAGTATCCACTGACCCAAGAACAAGGTCAATTCTTCATTCCAAACTCAAACTTCATTTTTACAGCAGCAATCTTTGCACATGCGGTGAGATGCTCATAGTGTTCCTTGCATCTGTTCACTGATTATGACACCTTAGAAACCTATCTGTGAAATAAGCTACACGCAGGGCTGGCCGGCTGGTCAGTGCATTAGAGCATGGCTTATAACGCCAAAGTACAAGGTTCCGATTCCTGGTCTGGCCAGCTGTTTAAAAACAAACAAACAAGGCACACTATGAGATCCTCTCTGTCACTCACGGCACCTAGATTTTTACAATTTGATACAAAAGGGAGAACATAGCAAACATAACTAAATACAGTCGTGCCGCATAATGACGTCTTGGTCAACGACAAGACCGCATATGTGATGGGTGTCCCATAAGATTATAATGGTTTCCCGCATAGGCTAGGTGTGCTGCAGGCTACACCATCTAGGTGTGTGTAGGTGCACTCTGATTTTCGCATGACGACAAAATTGCTAACGACACATTTCTCAGAAGGTATCCCTGTCATTACACAACACATGACCGTACTTAGGATATTTCACATGCATGAGTCTCCTTGGGGGCTAGTGTGGCCCACATGTGCAGAGCTGCCCAGAATGCCTTCCATGAGGCAGGACAGCCCCTACACCCTCCTGATCACTTCTCCAACCAAGCTGCTCAGCCACTTAATCCAGTCATCACTCAGTTCCCTTCTCTGCTCATTCATTTACCCACTATCTCCACTTCTGCTGAGACTCTCCAAGCACACGGGGAACAAGACGGTCCCCTCCTTCACTTGAGACCTTCCCAGGATCCCACCCATGCACGGCTAACATCAGAGTGTCTGAGCCCAGGGAGGCTGCCCACCTTTCCAAGGCTGCGTCATCACAGCATGGATAGCCACATATGGCCGAGAGACTGAGGTCTATGACATGTCCCTGTTGGAGCTGTCAGATCTGTTTGGACTTGACCCCCAGGCCATGCATGGGCCAGGGGCTCCCAGTGATGTGAGGGGCATGGGGACCAGAGTCCAGCTGGCAGGTAGGTGGATGATAGCGATGGATGGGCCTGGACCCGCACTGTTCTAGCTGGGCAGGGAGCTGCCCTCTGCCAGACCTCTCCCACCCCATTATGTCTGTCTGTGTGTGTCTGCCTGTCTTTCCACCTGTTTATTTTTAGACACAGGCCCAGTCCAACCTCCCTGAAGCTCTTCTGTGCTGGGAGCCTGGGAGGGGAGGAAGGAAGTAAATATTTATGCTGATTAAGAATTCAGGAGCCAGGAAGGGCTGGTGGCCTGGTCCCTTGGCTGGCCCAGGGCCACAGGCCTCCCTAGCCCCACCTTCCGGAGAAGGGGACCACAGGGCAGGATGGTTTGGGAACTGGGAATTTGAACTGACACTGGCTCTCACTGGCAAAGCTGCCCCAGCAACATCCTTTGGCACCTGCCCTACTCCCCAACCCCAGGCCAGAGGGGGACAGGGAGGAGCCATAGGGTCATCTTGCTCTTAGGACCTGCAGGGGACACTTTCTCCACCTAGAACTGGGAAAGTGCCACGAGGAGCCTGTTTCCCAGGGTGGGGCTAGGCACAGTGCCCAAAGCAGGAGGGGAGACTCCAATGCCCTCCTTAATCAGCAGGCTCAGTCTCCAGAGACCCCCCCCACTTCCTGCCAAGGGAGGTAGGGGTTCATCCCCATGGAAGCCAGAGCCCGGCCAATGGCCAACCTGCCCCCTCCTAAGAAAGGAGAAAGGAGCCATCCCAAAGCCCATACCCTGAAGATCCCCCCCCACCTCAGGCTGGTCCCACCCCAGGGAGAAGACGACCTGTGACTCTACTCCTGTTCTGACCTTGGCCCACCTCCAAGTGTCCCCTTTCGCCCCCACCCCAGCCCATAGCAGCCAGTTCTGGGCTTTGTTTGGCCCTTTGCCCCCCGCCGGGTGAGGAGGGCAGGCAAGAGCCAGGTCCTGCCCCACTAAGAGCCTCTGAGGCCCAGAGATGGGACAGGATGGTCCTGGAACCTGGGAAGGGCCCTGCAGCCCCTCTGCAGGCCAGCCCCACCATCGCCTGATCTGATGACAGCAATTCTCCAAAGGGGGAGGTGGTGACCTGCATTGCTCTGAGAGGGTGGACCCCGAGCCCCTGTCAGTTCCGTCCATCTGGCCCTGGTTTACTGTCCGTCCCTCGCAGTGGGGCGGGCTCCAGGGCAGGAGCTCTCAGTCTCAGCGTAGGCACCCAGCAGACGCTCACTGGGTGCAGCGCCATGTCGGGGGCTGGGGGGCAGAGCGGGCCTGTCCAGCAGTCACCACATCCCTCCGATCCTCCCTGCCTCAGTTTCCCCGCTGGTTAGGTGGTGCCGCGCCTGGCGCCCCGCTTGTGGCGTGGAGAGGCAGGGCCGCAGGTCTCCGAGCGCTCGGTACCGGGACAGACCCACCCGGGACCGTTGGGGGAGGCGCTCTGCCGCGGAGGTCGCGCTACCCGGGGGCGCTGCGGCTCCTCCAGCGGTGAAAGGAACTAATTAGAGCGGAGGGAGCGGGAGGAAGCGGCGGCGGCGAGGGAGGAAGCGCGCAGGGGCGGCCGCGGGGACCACCGGGGCGGCAGGGGCGGGGGGACCGCGCCCCCCTCCCCCGGGGGCGGGGGTCACCCAGAGGGTGGGCTGCGCGGGCCCCGCAGCCGGCCCGAGACAATGGCTGGGGGCGCTGCGGCTCCTCCAGCGGTGAAAGGAACTAATTAGAGCGGAGGGAGCGGGAGGAAGCGGCGGCGGCGAGGGAGGAAGCGCGCAGGGGCGGCCGCGGGGACCACCGGGGCGGCAGGGGCGGGGGGACCGCGCCCCCCTCCCCCGGGGGCGGGGGTCACCCAGAGGGTGGGCTGGGCGGGCCCCGCAGCCGGCCGGAGACAATGGCTGCTATTGTGCGCCCGCGGCCGCCCCGCACAGACGGCCCCCAGCTGCAGCCCAAGCGCCCCGGGCAGCCCCGACCCGATCCAGCGAGGTAGGCCGGGGAGCCCATCCTCCTGGCAACGGCGGAGGCCCGGCACGCTCGGGGAAACTGAGGCCCAGAAAAAGCACAGAGTCTTCCTCCAGGGCCCCTTGGCCTGCGGTGGGACACAGTAGAAAGGGGGTTAACATCCGTTAAACACCAACCACGTGCCAGGCCCCGTCTATCCATAAATTCACTGAGCCCTCTACAATCCCTCTTGTGAGTAGCTGCTGTCATTTTCCTTGCTGCACGGATGGGTAAACTGAGGCTCAAATCACCAGGCTAATAGAGAGCGGCTGGAATCCTGCTCTGGATGAAGCCCCTCTGTCCCTGCTTAGGGGACAGCAGCTGGCTGGCCCCAAGCCTGTAAGGGTGCCTGTAGAGTGCAGGTGCAGGGTGGGTTTGGGGCTGTGCACACCCACCCCAGAAACCACTCAGAGTATCCCTGGCAGAAGCAGAGAGAGGACTGGCCGTCTGTAGGTGGCAGCTCCATTCCTGCCCACCCCACAGCAGTGTGGGGTCAGGTGAGCAACCACCAGTGTATCAGTGTTATCAAGGCCAATGTGAGGGACATCCCCTTGTTCCTGGGTTAGTTCTGAAACTGCCCCTTTGGTCACCTGTGGCCTGTCCAGCCTAGGACTTGGGGACAAGGACCCAAGATGCAGCTCACAGAAGTCCAGGTGGTCTTATTGAATGGAAAGAGGCCTCCCCTGAACCCGTCAGCTGAGTGCTGTTCCATGGGTGTCCCAGAGTCTGGTGACTGGGACAATCACTTCAGCACTCTGTTCTCACAGATGTGGAAACTGAGGGCCAGAAGGGGAGGCACCTGCCCCAGGTTGCAAAAGTGGGTGGCAAGCCCACAGCTGGCAGCCATGGATGAATATCACAATGACAGTACCCACAGCCAGTTGTCAACAGTCCAGCAACATGCAGCATCTGTTTAGGCAGGTGCTGTTTCATCACCATTTTACAGATGCAAAAACTGAGGCTTAAGGGAATTAAGTGACCTATCCAGGGTCATGCAGCTTGTCTGTGGCAGAGCCAGGTTCCAACCCAAGGTGAGTCTAGAGCCGTGTTCACCATCGGACCCTCCTGTGCTCACGGGTGTG